AACTTTCTCATTGCAAATAAGTGATTCTTTATCAAAAAAATCAAAACTTTAATTTCAGAAGTAATGAATCTTTATAATTCTTTTTTTTATTTCTCTCGTAACTCTTTCTCTTTTTGAAGGTCTAATGGAATATCAAATCTCAACTGAATTGCCAATGGATCATCATCTGATTTATTTAGATCAAAAACAATAAATTCACCTTTACGAAGGTAACTATTAACAACCATAGAAACATTTTTCACATTTTCAGTATATCATTCAATGACCTTGGAAATATCTTGATAGGAACTGCCACCATTAAAAACTACTAGATGTGAAATATTTTCTATATTTTCACAGATAATTATTAATGTATGATAGTAGCATTGTATTACATATATACTTGAAATGTTTCTATGATGCCCATGTGTAAAAAATAGAATGATTTGATTCTGGATAGACTTAGGAGCCACATATACATCCCCAAAAATAATTGCTGTGCTTCTCTCAGACAAAAATGCTTTTACACTAGGGATTTTTTCTAGTAATATATAGCTAAATTGTATATTCTCATAGTAAGGCGCTTTTGGATTTTTTGAGATTATCCCATATATATCTCACAAATGCCCATTTTGGCTCATCAGAGTGGTAATCACAAACTATCAAATCATCACATACAATATACCTAGAGTCACCTTTCTTATCTTTATATATGCATTCAGATTTATCACTGAGAAAAAGATTTACCAAGAAATTAGTCTTACTTGATCTACTTTTTCTGATGACTAGCATAGAGAAAGTCCATGATGAGCTCACAGGATGCAACTGAATTTAGGATGATTCATGCTTTGTGGTCTCATCCATATCCATAAAGTAAAGTTTCATAGGAGGTAGTCCTGTCTTTTAGTTCTTTCGTATGACAGATTGGAAATCCATAACTCTGATTTCTATAGACTTGATAAAAAATTTCTTTCTTTTTGATTGGACGAAAAATTTGCCTGTATATATACCATATAATTAATATTATCACGAAGGTAAAAATAACAAACTTGAATATAGGTAGGATTATATACTGATCATTAACTAAAGTATTGCTACCTCCTAATGTAATAATAGGTATGGCTAAAATACTATCATAATCTCCTTTTCCATCAGATTTATGCTCTGAGTAGTATGAAGAAAATGGGATATCTCTTCTACTACTTTATCATACTTATAATTGTTAGATGATAAGGTTGTGTCCGCTTCTGCATTACCTATTTTTAAATTATGAATTATCTGATGCAGTTGTGAAACAATCTGATCTAGTTTATCTTCCAGATTACTTACCCTAGATCTGAGACAGAAAATTAACCCATTCTTATATGATAAATTTTGCGTAACTTTCTCCAGTTCATTTTCTAATTCCTTTACTTTAATTTCAAGAGAGAGATTGCTATACAACTGGTTAGTATCAGAATTCTTTAATAAAACTTTTTGCGTAGCTTGTTCCAACTCAGTCTTCAGTTCATTTATTTTAGTTCCAAGAGAGATGATATCAGAATTCTTCAAAGATGAAGCTTTTTACATCAAAGATATTTTACTTTCCAATGATTTAACTGTAGATTTAGTGATTCTATTTCTTTTAACTGCTTAGCATTAAGATCAGCATGAGACTTTCGTTCACAAGTTATTTGGGAGACAAACTTATTATTCAAACCATTTAATTGATTAGCTAGAGGAATAATTTGATTCATAGAATTATGCATACGCTTATTTTCCTCATGCGAGTGATCTAGATCATTTTGCATACACTTATTTTTTTCATCTAAGACATGATATTTAGTTATAAACTGTTTAGCAGATCTTATAAACTTTTCACGATCTTTTTTTAGCTGTTCTTCAAGTTCTAATTGGCTTAGTGGATATCGATTGGATGGAAGGCTTTTAAGTTTACTGCTATTACTATTACCTATATTATTTAAAGTATAGATTCAAGGCATAGTTTTTTATCCCATAAATAAAGGCAAAAAAAAAAATAATATTTTTGAAATAATGTGTTCTTTCTATATTTTTAAAATAATACATTTATCCCATTTAACTCAGTAAATATTTTCGAAATAATATATTTTTCCTATTTATTCTAATAAAATATTTTTGAAAAAATACATTTCTCCCATATATTCAAAAGAATATATTTCTCCTAATTATTCGGAAGAATATATCTATCCTATTATTCTATTTAATATTTTCTTAATTTTTTTATTTAAAAAAACACCATTGTGATTATGGTTAGACAGTGTATGAATTATAATACACCTCTATTTTCATCCAATGCTGTGATAAAAGACTGAGAAAGAAAGTTTTAGATGAATTAATAGACAAATATAACACATCAATAAAGCACATATATCAGATTTAGAAAAGTGAAGAAGCTAATAAAATTGCCTAAAATTAACCAATAGTTGATATTTCTAATACTACTTATGCAGGTAGATGTTTATCTGTAGTAACTACGATCCACCTCCTGCTATTTCCTCTCCACCTGCCTTATCACTGAAGAAAAATAGCCAAAAAAAGAAAACAGATAAAATAAGTGTAATATCTACTGAGACAGAGATAGAGGTGCTTTCACAGCACAGTGCTAATATCACTGATAATACTGATATTATATCTAAAATGGGATCTGAACTTGAAGAGATATTAAAACAAATGGATGATATTAATTAACTTACTTCTTTTCAGCAAGTATTTTTATAATACTTATTGCTTTACCAAGCCACTCTTCAGCTTTTGCAAGACGTCCTTCAAGCTTCGCACAGTTTACACACTTTTTTTAAACTATTCTCGCTAGTCAGAAAGAAGTCATATAGCTCTCTTTTGGCAGATCTTTAACTACTGAAGCCTTGCTAAAAGTTGGAATAAAATATATCTTTTCATGATCCTCTATGCGAAACTGATTTTAGTCAGATTAGAAATACCTTTGACTTTTTGAATTCTCGTCATACCTAACCATAGCATTGGATTGGACTTACCATTATCAACATAAGTATAATTTCTAATAATAGTGATGATTGAGTTTCCTTTCATGTCTTTTAAAGTGACCGCTACATTTGTATACCATCCTAGTACTTAAGAGATATGAGCAGAATTACTTTTTACAGCGAATTTAGAAGGCTTATTAACTTTCCATCCAAGTGCTTTACCAGTAGCTAAATTAAATCCATCAAATTCACTTCCATTATCTAAAAAAGATTCAGAGATTGGTAAGTCATTTATACTAGCATTTAAGTATTGTAGGAATGAAAACCACTCATCTTTTTTTGACTTCTCCTTTTAAGTCTTTCGAGATAAATACATTTTATGCATTGTCAGTGAAAGTTTTGGCAATAGCTTGTCATATGTTTTAGGTTGGCTGGATTCTGAAGATAACTTTTTATTTACTAACGCCTGTTTTTTTTTCAGTGCATAATATCACGCATTATCTATTTTATCATAATTACCACTATTATCTTCATCATTATTAGAATCTGAAGATATGTTTTGGAAATTTATAGGTGTGAGAGGCTTGAAATAAGTCTGATTAAAATTAGATTATGCTGTCTGTCTATTGGGATAACTGCCTTTATTATGATCAGTTTCTCCACAAATATCGCATTTATGTATATTTAATTTCTGAAATTGATTTGTTAGTTGATTTACAGCATCACGAGTTTCATTTATCCCCTCTTCTACTCTATCAATTCTAGCAGAGACATTGCTTCTCTGTGGGTGAGATCTTTGAAAAGGCTTTACAGGGTAATCAGAATCTAAATCTTCTTTATTAAGTATACCTACTTTTTTTAAGTATTTAGCTACATAATAATTCTTGAGACCTTCCTCTATTTTCAATGAAGATAGTGACCTCTTGGTTGTTTAACCAGTTCAACAGTTTGTGAAGCAAATACTTGCGCTTGTTGAGTCATTGAGATTATAATTCTGTGACTTTTTTTACTAATGCCTGGTTTTCAGTTTTTGGTTGTGCTAATGCATTTTGAATTGCTTTTTGTATATCTTTTAAAGAAATTCCATGTTGTTGAGGAACTGAAATAGGCGAGGGTTCATATATTACTCGAGATGCTCGATTAGGTACTAGGATTAGGTATTCTATCTTTTTTATATCTAGCTATTCAGCGTAATTTTATCTCATAAAGCTTATTAGCTACACAGGTCAGATGATGTCAAATCGGGATCCATTTAGACTGCCCTATTGCAGCATGAATGGACTCTGATTTTTTTTATTTAACACTAGCAGGGTACCCAATTGCAAGCATAAAAATGGCTTAAATCATGCATGTCATAGTTATCAATCGGAATGATAATAGTCAACCTATTGTTATCTGATATTTTTTTTAATTGTTTGATTTCAGCATGTCAATTGATATTAATTTATTAACATGTAGATAACTGATTGTTAAAAATTTAATGTGTAGCTAAATAATCATTAGTTTTATTGTTTGATTTCTGCATGCCAATTGATAACCAATTGTTAAAAATTTAATGTGTAGCTAAATAATCGTTAGTTTTATTGTTTGATTTCAGTATGCCTGATTGATGTAATCATAATAATTTATGTCAATGCTAAATTACCCATATTTAATAACTAGGTACTACCTGATAATGAAGTATTAGCTAATTTTAAATGTAGAGGTTAACCAATTTATTAATTGTATTATTAATTATATACACATAAAATACAATATATTTGCTAATAATATCCCTATTATAATATTCCTATTATGATAAAACATGAGCCATTACAAAAGAAAAAAAATCTATAGTCAGTTTCTATTAAAAAAAAATATGAATGCATTAGAAATCAGAGTACAGTTGACGTTCTTGCTAATACCTACATCTCTATACATATTTATTCGTCACTCTCATTTGGATCTTTTCCATCATTTAATTTTTAGGACCCAGGTGGTTTAGAAGTTTCATGAGAATTAATATGTGAATTTAACACATTTAATTCATTCTTATTATTATATTTTGATGCCGCTTTCTCAATAATAGCCTTTATCGACCTCATATACCTGATTTAGTCTATTGAGATGCGTTAATGAGGCCTTTATTTCATCAGCAGCAAAATTATTGTTATCATAAATTTGCGTGCGTTTTCTTCTATCAGGTCTTTGCTAATAGAAGATTGCATCTAAGTAGCCTCTTAAAAATGTACACAACTTGAAAATATCAAGTGAATTAATATTGTTATGAATTGTGAAAACATTTATCTTGTACTTACAGTGCTGCTCCTCCAACTCAAATCTCGTATTACAATACGATGATCTCCCATATTCAATTCTTCATCATCTTCTGAAACCTCTAGACTATAATAGGCACTTTCCATTAAAATTGGATTAAGTTCTATTTGTCTCCTATTTTTTGTAAGTGATTAATTACGTTAGCCCTTCGTGTTCTTTTCTATTAATAAATTTGTTATATACATCATATATTGAATGATTAGTTGAATACATAATTAATAAACTGATTGGTTTATTACCTTCTTTCTGTGAGAATTCCCATGTCAACGTTGGGTTTCTTTTGTTTGTGTAGCTTTGTAATTTTTTTTCCTCAATATTTCCTCCCTTGGTGGCAATGGCGTTGATGAATCATTTCATAAAGAATATCTTCACCAATCAGATACATTTCCAGATTTAATACCTTTAACAAAGTAGGTATTATTGATGTCGTCACCAATCTTTTTGCGATTCGAATGTTTCATTAATATCAAGTTAGTTATTTTCTGGCATTCGTTAAATGTTTCAGAAGATATCCTGCTAAATATTTATTGATTTTAATTAATAAAATCTGTAAATAAAAATGATCTGAAAAAAATAATTTACTTACACGCAAAGAATTACACAGATCTTCTGTTAAATATGATAAGTAGAGGTATGTTATTTTCTTGAGAACATTGTTCAAATTATCATTTTCTTCAGCACTTGAACGAGAGGTTGATCGTTATTATTTTCGTTCATTTCTTAACTTCTTTTTTTCTATTTTATTATCGCTGTCTAAAATAATTGGATTATCTGAATTATCCTGAGATTTAGAAGAACTCGCAATATCATATTCTTCAGATATTTTGTGAGCGGCTGGCTTTTTATCAATTGATTTATTCGACACGGATAATTTACTTGTATTTACATCGCTGAAATTTAGAATCCTTTGGGTTTATCTCCTTTTATTTTCCTCTTTCAGCCCATTTTATATATTTCAATAAATAATTCACTTGATCTTGTTTGGTAAATGAATCTTTTAAAATAGTAATGAAAAGATGTAACAAGGACTGCATAATCATACAACATTATATTATCATAATAAAAGCTTACCAATTTCAATATATTATTACTAGAATATTTCTCTTTAATTGCTGCTTCAAATTCCAGATCTAATTTTAAAGAAAATTTGACATCTTTTCTAGGTTCAGGGAACGAACTGCTACTGCGGTTCTTAGAATTTCTCAGCTTTCTAGGTTCAGAAACGAACTGCTACTGCAACTTTTAGAATTTCTCAGCTTTCTAGGTTCAGGAGACGAACTGCTATGACGACTCTTAGAATTTCTCAGCTTTCTAGAATTTCTTAGCTTTCTAAGTTTAGAAAACGAACTGCTACTGCGGCTTTTAGATTTTCTTAGCTTTCTAGGTTCAGGAGACGAACTGCTACTGCAGTTTCTTTGATTTTTTAATTTTCAACTCTTCGATTTTCTGAATTATAAAGGCTTACAACTTTCCAATTTTCTAGAATCTGAGAGCTCACGACTTCTCGATTTTCTGAAATCTGGGAACTCATGACTTTTCGATTTTCTGAAATCCAGAAACTCATAAATTATTAGTTCTGACGACTTTGTACTTCTTGTTCTGGATCTGTCTCTTTCACAACTCTTGAATTTTCTCGTTGACATAGTGAATAAATTTCAGAAAGTAAAATGAAATAACTAATGTTAAATAATTAATAAAATATAAAAAATTCGGGAGAAGAAGTTTGAAAAATTGTTTCTTTTATATATCTGGAAACAGACTTTTTATATCAATCGTCATAAATTAGACTTTTCAAATTACTATAAAAATAGACTTTTAAGCTTTTAATATAATGTATTCTTAAAATCATATGAAATTTTAATTAATTAACTGCAGTATCAAAATCATACAACAAAAATCATACTTTCAGGCTATTGATCATAATCTCAGACTATTGATCAATTAATTATTTTTAATAACCTTTTATCAATCAGGCTAAACATGTAACTTTATTTTTAATTTTTTAAAGAATAATAAATCAGACTAATCATGTAATGATATAAATTATTTTATTAATAATTAATTTACAATCAAGTATTTATATACCATTAAATCCTGTCAAAATTTATATTATTTGTTTTTTTATCTCTTTTTAATTAAACAATGCACTCAAGAAACAAAATTAGTTGTCTTTGTAGTAAATGTAATAAAAATTGACTGATCTCAGAATGCGAAAAAAACATATAGAAATAGAACAACAGATGGAGACCTGATACAGAACATCATCAAAATTAACGAAAGTAATATCGAAAAAAGCCCAACAGGATAATGATGACAAAAAAACATCAAAATTGAACTCTTCAGAGACCTCAAATTCAACTAATTCGTCAGATTCAGCTGATTCATCTAGTTCTTCAGAAGACATAAGTTCAGAACAAGAACTGATTTCTGTTCAAACTAAACGAAGAAAAAATAAAAAATTCAAAGAATTGAAATCGAAAACTGATGATGAACCTTATTTAGATTTTATATTATTTAATGAAGAATCTGTATTAAATGATGAAAGTGAAGATTCTGAAAATTCTGACGATAATGAAGGAGATTTTCTCAGAACGAACGATTTACAGCTTCTGATTGGAATGATTTTGATGACAGTAATGATTTTATATATCTTAATCCAAGTACTGAGTTTTCTGAAACTTAGATATTATTATGGATATATAAATTTCAATCGAGATTTTGTCTATCTAATGTCACTATAAATTTCTTGATTGCATTTTTTGGTCAAGTGTTAAAAATGTTGATCTAAGGCGATTTCATAAATTCTCATCCTCATCTCACAATGCAAAGAAATTGTTACAAATTGAAAAGATTGCAAAAACATATGCCATATGTCTAAATGTAACAAATTACATAATTATGCAGAAATGTCGAAAGATAATAAATATAAATTCGTTGAGTTTCCTAATTATCCAATGAAGAAACATTAGGCAGAATGTGAAACAGCACTACTAAAAAATATTCTAGTAACTAATGGTTACATAAAACGCCTTGTATGGTATTTCTTATGCCAGATTTGAAATCTCAGATTTTTGCAATGTATCAGCGTCCTGACTTTGAATATAATATGACAAAGTGGATACATCGATATGTTGATGAAAATGTACTAGCTGATATTTACGATAGAGGGATGTGAAAGACATTCTTATCATCAGTTGAACCAGAAAGCAGTCTGTTTTTTGCACCTGAGTTTGCAGATTCATATCTTAGAATAATTATTAATATTAATTGATTTCAGCCATTCGATTCTTCGATATATAATACTAGAGCAATATATGGCATTATCTGCAACCTTCCTTATGAAATACGTTTTCGACAAGAAAATATGTTAATATTGGATTTGTTGCCAGAACCTAACGAAGTTCAGACCTATAAAATAAATCATTACCTATCACCGATTGTCGATAAATTACTTGAATTCTGGATAAGTGTTGAATTACAAAGAATAGCAAGTTATTCGAGTTGTAGAATAATTTGAATAGCAGTTATTTGCTATAGTAGTGATATTCTGGTAACAAGAAAATTATGTAGACATATATTAGCATTAGCTGCTTATCATCGATATCATAAGGTAACCAGTAGTCAAAATAAAGAAGAAAGACCTAATTTCAGTGACTTTGATGACATAAACGATTGGTTTAGATAGAGGGATTTAGAAGCATTCTGATGAAATGCTTTTGCTTGGCGTAGGTGTCAAATACAAGAAAAAAAGAAGAAACATGTCTCTAATACATTTGTCAGATGGACAGAGCTACTTAGATTATCTTATTTCAATCTAATTCAGTATTGTATTATAGATCCTATACATAACCTATTCTTGAGAATCACCAATTGGATTATAAAAAGGTTGTGAATTGATGGTGGAAAAATATCCAAAGATGATCTTGAATTAATGGAAAAACGTTCTAAAGTAATTAAAATTCCAGCTGATTTAGGACAGATTCCTAATAAAATTGCTACGGGTGAAGGCTTTTCTGAATTCACTACCAACTAATAGAAAACCTTCATCTTGGTATACGCAATACCATTAATGTGAGATTTGTTATCTATTTTAGATCAACAAATTTTAGCAAATTTTGTCAGGCTTGTACTTTATTAATTTGTAAAGTTATTGATAATAGTATGCTAAATAAAGCCCATACACGTTTACTTAAAGTTGATCAGCTTATAGAGAAACATTATGGTCAACAATTAATCACACCAAATATTCATCTCTCCCTCCATCTTGCCAAATGTTATCAAGATTATGGCCCGTTATACTCTTTTTGGTGCTGTTTGTTCGAAAGAATGAATGGTGTATTAGGTAAGCATTTAAATTACAAATTATAGACCTTTTGGCTAGTTTATACTTATATTGATTTATTGATTTGGCTCTTTAAGATCCTTTTCTAATTCTCAACGTTGTATTGAACAAGAATTGTTGAGAATTATAATGCAAAATTATAAAATTGATAACCTAGTTTCCATTCAATAAAATAATTTGAAACTTATTAATGGGCTTGAATTAATCAGACCTCAAAAACTTTAGGATCATTGGCTACATATGATGGTTTCAATGCTAAAGAATTACTCCAATTCAGATGGTCATTTTGTCATGAATCAGGAGATACAGTCACTGGAAGTGAATTATTTCCAGGAGAAATATTATCTCCAATAAATGAACAGGTTGATTTACCTGATAATGTATTTAAATAGTTGATTACTTATTATAACGAAGCATATGATGATATGAATGTTGAATTCATTTTGATGACTGATTTAATTGAAAGAGGGTTACAAAATGATTCATTAAATCGCTATTTAATTGTTCAACTAACAATTAACCAATATGAATGAATTCAAATAGCTGCTGAAATTTTTGGTTCTGTATTATCACTTTGATACAAGAAGAATTCGCATATTTTGGCATTATTTACCCAAAGTGACAATTCAATAGAATTATTCCCAGGACAAGTTCAATTTTTTTTGAACATACATCGTGGCTTTCAAATGGTATCATCAAAACGCATAAGCTTGCCTATGTTAAGTGGTATCTACCAGTTGATGATCACAAAATCAGATTTCATTATCGAATTGAAGAGGATAATTAAAGTGTTAACATTGAACTTTGAAAAATTGCTGAATTTTATGATTTATCTCAGAACAGCATACTTCCAATACATAATATCTACAGTCAGTTTGTTCCTGCTAATTTTATCATTAGAAAAAAGAAAACAAACAGTAAATCTTATATGGCAGTAATACCAAATAATAGGCAGTTTTATTTATAATTATTGTCTGTCATAATTATTGTTTTAATTCGTGATCCAGATATCGATCAGTGAAATCAGCTGATAATCAATATACATTACAGGAATAAGCTAACTTATATTTTATAACTTAGCTCAGAATCTCTTTTTTTTTTCGTCAAAGCAATTAAAATTTTTTTTCTACACATGCCATAAAAAAAAGTCACTAGTTTGTTGTATGAAGGTATAAAGTTGCTCAAAATAGACCAACATACCAAATTAACACATACTGGCTTTCTTTTGTAACGAAATGTTTAAGCATAAAGAATATAAAATTACACTAATTTGTTCGGGTTTAATAGTAGACACTTTACATTTTGAGCCTTCTTGTCATAATTGGTGGATCTCTAGACCTTTTGAAAAATGTGAAAATCCAGTATTGCTTCATCCTATCAGATTACATATGAAGACTTTAGTTGTTTTAAAAGGTTAGGATTTTATTATTAAGGGTTTGGAAACTTTTTTAAATGGTAGTCAAATTTCGGAATATATTTGTAAATGTGATGGTATTCAAAGTGAGCTTTGTGAGTCACTTACAACTGCGGTTAATAGTGTTTACAAAAAAATTTTTCAAACAAAAGCTAAATATTCAGGACCAGTGATAATGGGATTTGATATACCAGTTCTTTCTGAGGCATTATTAAAAAATCTACCATTTCGTGTTTTTTTTTTCTTTAGGAAAATTACATATATAGGTGTTGGGAATCAGAAAATCTAATAAAAGTGAATGGAATTTTGCTGGGACAGGTTATAAAATGTCATTTATATATACGTATCAAAGCAAAGATGTGTTTTCGTTCAAGAATTAGAAGATGATTGTTGTTGGGTTATAATATATTTAGGAAATAATATGTATAGGATTTTTATTGATGATGATCCAGAGTTAGTATGGCGAAAGGTTGGAATTTTACAACAATATAAAGGAAAAGAATTATTTGGATTGGAAAATAATAAAGTACGAGATACAGTCAACTCTTAATATAGCGAACTCTTGATATAACGAATTTTTTGAACAAATATAATAAAAATACTCTTGT